CCAGATGTTCCATCATTTAAATTCGACATTTGGGCATTGGCAGCTACAGTTTTCACAAAGGCAGGATGGTTAGACTGTGCCTTCATTTGTGCTCTTTTCTCAGCTTGATATTCATCAAGACGTTCTTGTATTTCAGCCGCCGTCCACCTATCAGCAGACTTGAATTTCAAGATAGCAGAAAGAGATTGGTCAGGGCAATGTTTAACAAACATTTGTGTCACCTCACGTGTAGGATCTTCAATACTTCTGCCCTGTCTTCTCAAACACTCGTCAGCGACATCAACAGCTTTATTAAGCCGAATCCAATATTCCATTGCATTCTCTCCTGCTACAGGTAAAGTGCCATAAAAGTCAGCAAGCGGCATAGATGAATATGTCAATTCGCTGAAGTGCTGTTTGAGTATGTCTGTGACAATCCTTGGGTTTGTTTTAGGCTTCAGTGATGGATTGCTGCGTAGTGCTATCTTGATTACATCTATCTTTAGCTCTCCCCATTAAGTTCGACATGATTTCGTCCGCTTGTTCAGCTAAAGGAACACCTTTCTTTCTCAAATAAACATCCATGAGTTCTTCCCATTCGTGTACTGATAATTTGTCAGATCCATCCCCTCTGAAACAGGGTGGTGCCTTGACATCAGGCTTCATCACTAACTTCATACCAGTCAAATTTAGAGAAGGTGACTCCATGAGAACCTGGCTCGTCCCTATGCTCTGCGTTTGAGTATCAGGACACTCATTTTTTTGACTGCCTTTTTTCAGCTGATCAGATATTGACTGCCCTAATTGTTGAGCAAGCTGTGTGATTAAACTACTCAAATCAGCATTACTGTAGTCTCGGCTGTCTGAAGCAGCACCTTCACACTTTTCTGATTCAGTTGTATGTACTCTAACAGGATTACGGGTAGAACAGAAATCAGGAGAACCAATATTAACTCTCCTTCTGAGTGGTGTCTGTTCAAGTTCACCAAAGATACGCCCCCTGGCAAAACCCAATTCAAACCCACCACTAGGGGAGTAACTTGTCTTCTCACCATTTTGTGACATCTTGAATATTACAAATCAAAAAAATTAAATTAGAACAGATGACGACAACAGAAAAAAAAACTGTTAATGTGTACACAGCTAAAAATTAATACACAATCAAATAAGCAAACAAAAATGGAATCACAAATTCAAACTACTTCTATTTTCTCTCTTCTGAAAATATGAACTTTCAACCTGTTTCTGAATTATGTACAGTCTAACGTCCAACCTTTTTTCTTTGACACAGGTACAGTCAGAATTTGGACGCTCCAGAATGCAGCAAACCCCAGCGACCAAGCTGATGTTGATCAAAGAGGATCCATGATGACTTGCATCATAGAAAAGTCACGGCACCATTGTGACCGGTCTGGACCTTCACTCTGCGTTGTGTTGATAATTTAATGAGACCGGACAACAGAGATTCCTCAGACCACTTTTTATTCTGAATGAATAAAAAGGAAAATGAATGAAAAAAAAAAAAGTCAATCCGTGGCCTTTCTCCACAATTTCAGCATTGACCTTTCCCCAGCCGCGCTTACCGCGAAACTCACTTCATATTACAATTTTGAAATGAACTGCATATGATTAAATCAACAATGTAACATTTTTCTCAATATAAAACATTTTACATGAATTCAAAACAACAATATTAACAGAAACATGGATAGAAAACATACCTGAATGAATAAAAAGGAAAATTAATGAAAACAAATGTCAATCCGTGGCCTTTCTCCACAATTTCAGCATTGACCTGCCAGTCAAAACGGATCATTTTAGCCACGGAACTGACATACATGGTTAATAAACAAAAAACTTTTTAGCTCCAGCTCCAGCAGAACTGACCTTTCCCCAGCCGTGCTTACCGCGAACTGAAGGAAAGCAACCGGAACCTTAATTCTTAAAAATGATTAATAGCAGCTTATCAGTTTGGCTTTCGACCTGGTAGATCTACGTTAGATGCATTAATAAGATCAGAAACTGATATAAAGAAAGCGTTATCAATGTTAGTGGGAGTCTTTTTAGATATTGAAAAGGCATACGATATGATGTGGAGAGAAGGATTGTTATTAAAGTTGCAGAGAATAAGAATTTATAATTGGGTTTTATAAATTTGTTTCTTGTTTCTTTCACTCTTTTTAAATGAAAATAAATAAATAAATTATGTGTTCGCACATGATATAAAACAAAGGACAACATTTACACTAGTTTTAGTCATCGCTAAAAATATAAAAACGTCGTACATTTTACCATGGGAACAGAGAAACCATGTCTTCACGTTATTTCAGTAACTTCTCAAATGAGATGTTTAAGATCTGTATCCCCTCTAAGTCTGTCTAAATCTCGAAGACGACGGCGGTGCAGTGGACTGTGACGGTATGGCATGGAGCTAGCCATTATTTTGCAGTCTCGATTCGAACCTCAATGCGGGCCGGGGTTTAGAAATTTTTTAATTATTCAGTTAATATTACATTTATTCACGCGTTTTAAATATTATCTAGACTTGTTTCATTTCAGTGTTTTGGGTGCACAGTGTTTTGGGTATAAGGATCACGACCGTCTATCTTTCCTATTCTAACTTGCAGAAAATTGTACTGGAGAACATAGTTGGAATGTTTACACAGATGTAATCTGAGTCGAGGTTTTTACAGAAGTAATGTTACGATTTCTTTTAAGAGGATTGTTTAAATAACAACGAGGCCACTTTACATATGCTTCGTATTTAACCGCGACGACATAAATATTGTCTCCTGTCACAGTTGTAAAACATTCCTAAGATATTTTCACATCCTTTCAGGCACTGTTTATGTGAAAGTGGCCATACGTTTAGACACAGGCAGAGACAGAACGAAAGATCTGGCTGTCAAAATCGCTTCTATTTAACCCTAATAATCAAACTGTCTAGTTCAGTTTTATATATTTTATGCCCAAGATAACTTTACAGGTCCTATGTTTAAACGTTTTATTAAATGTCTTTATTTAAAACAGCATGCAATGTTATTCACCAATCATGCTCCAAACATAAAGACAATTATCACATTTTTCTGGTTTATGTATCTCTGAAAAAGTTTCTATTTTGTGAACAAAGTTGCTGTAAAACAGAAATACTAATCATATATATGTCCGTGAATTCTAGCGAGTGTACAAACACTATTTTCGCAACAGAATATGCATGATAATGCGTTTATCATAGAGTACGAGCGCCCTCTTTTGGGGATACTGAAAACTACAGATCTCACGAAAATAACATAGCAGTTCTATTTATTCAGTTAACAATATTAAAACAATATATTAACATATTAAAAACAAGATATAAACTTATTCTATCCTGAATTACTATTCATAACGTGTTACATTTTAATATTTTAAAGCTGTACAAATAATGTAAAGCTCTCTTTCTTTTTTCTTTATTTAATGTATCTGCCATATGGTCCCAGTGGGAGTAATAAAAAAGGCCTTAAAACCACGTTTTTCAGGAGATAACAGTTAGTTTCAGGACAGTTCATTTCAGGAGCTTCTCATATCTATTTCTGGGATCATTATGAATCAACACGGTAAGTCCAATTTATTTATTTATTTCCATGAAAAACAAGTTGACTAAGATCAAATTCTCTCTGTTTTCATCATAATATTGTCAGTCCATTCGTATTGAGAAATGATAAATACGAGTCATGATTGAATTGCCCCGAGGCTGTATGGTCTTAACGCTTGTTTTATTATAGTACACCGTTTTATTAGTTATTTTGTTATGTTTGGAAGAGATTATCTGTGGTTCGATTTAAACTGTGATGTTTGTCTGAGTTTTAATATCAGTCATCTTAGACAATTGTTTTAAACTAAGTACGCTCAACTAACGGATGTCTTTATTTAATATCGTAATCCGAATCATTTCAATTTGGAAGAATTATGATAGATGAATCCTTTACTAATGTTTGAAGAGACATGGGGCGCTGCTGAGTAACAGGACGAAGAAGAGCGCACGACACTTTTGAAATGACGTCATATTTGTGCGTGCCCCGGCATTATTCTAAGATAATCTATTTTGGCTTATACCTGACCGGTTTAAAACTTATTTTTGCAAAACCTGTTTCCCCTAAAGTATTTCTTTATGTTTTGTTTAAGATATTTCTTTATGCTTTATAGATAATTAGTTATGCTCTAAACTATGCAGATGGCTAAAGCCTTGTTTTGTTTTTATTTCGCCTGTTTTTCCGACTGTCCTGTGGAGTAGAGGTAGTGCGGTCTGCCCGCAATGCGATCTAGTGTCTCGGCGAGGGTTTGCGCCCCATATTTTTCATGTCAATTTTCTGATTTCTTTTAATATTTTGTCTATGGAAAAACATTGAATTCTTATTGTTTCTCTATTTCTATTCATTCTCCTATTCTGCTTCATTATACAATGGTACTTTAAATCAATAGCTGATATCACATATGATAGCTTTTATTATTTTTTAATATTGTTTACTATTGTTTAAAGTTCTTAAATATTATTATATAGCTTTTCAATATGTTTACATTTTTTATATTGTTTAAAGTTCTTAAATATTATTATTATATAGCCTATTAATATGTTTACATTTTTACATGTGCTAGCATTTATTATTTTTAATATTGTTTAAAGTTCTTAAATATTATTATATAACCTATTAATATGTTTAAAGTTCTTAAATATTATTATATAACCTATTAATGTTATCTAATGTTAAAATTCAGTAGATTTTAACCTTGTGGTACGACTATAATTTATGTCGGTTGTTTGTTTGTTGTGTGTTAGCACTAGCATCACACGGCCATCTGTCGTTGATGGGTCAAATTACAAGGTAATTATATATTGATATAGTAATTAAACAGCGAAATGTTGGTGTTTTTTTTCACAACTCTTAATATAAAGAACATACAATCTAACTTCTGTTTGTCCTAGGTGTTAGCGATCTGATTTCTATGGACGAATTGACGTTTGAGCAATTTGAATTATACGGTAAGACTGATTGTGCGTTTATTACTTTTTCTGATATTTATAGATGTTTTTAATTACGATTGATATATTATCTTTTATTTCCGGCGAGAGAGACAGACGATAACGGAAGTAGAGACGCAGGCGGTGAGTATCAATATATTTATGTCTTATAGTTTATAGCTAAAATAAGTTATATAATCTTTATCTCTTTAATTATTTTTACAGATCTGCCCGCGGGTGTGTTGCAAAACAATATTATTTTTACAGATCTGCCCACGGGCGTGGTGCAAAACAATATTATAGACCTGACTGAGGAGAACGAGGAGGAGGAGGGACATAAACCCGGACCAAGCAACGCCGATACACAGAAGCGACCGAGAGAAGCTGATGAGTCGTCGGTCGCCCCCGAGAGAAAGAAAAGACTTGTTGCTATCGTAACTCTGATCATAGCGGTTGGAGACGCAGGTGACGGTAAGATTACCTGCTAACTAAGCAATATTTTTAGCTTAAAGATATGACTATGTTCTTGACGTACGACTTTTAATTTCAACTCCTTTTGCTCTACAGACGGTGACCGAGAGCGTCTCAATAATGATCAACCTAGGGCAGAGACTCCGCTGAACGAATGGGAAACAGACAGTTGGACCAGCGAACGTAGCGACGATTTACAGCCGCTCATTTTTCAAGAACCGGTTGAGGCAGACGAAACTGAATTGCTGCCAGACTACCGGCAGAACGACGATGTGAATGAAAGATTTGATGCTTTGCGCGAAGAGATGATTAACCGTCAGGAGTCTTTTCATGAAGTGTTGATTAACAGACAGGACGCTTTTTTCAACGACCTTCTCAACAGACAGGACTCTCTGCATGAAGAGATGATTAACAGACAGAACGCTTTCTTCAACGAACTTATTAACCGAATGGACGCCCGGGACGCGAGGGACCACGATCAATAAGGTAATTTAAACCAGTGTCATGTGAGCAATTGACTGTGAGACGTCAGGATGATGAGTAGTCTTTCTAGTCTAAACGATGCTCTACATCCATGATAGAGGACACGAAGCAATTGTTTTTCAATGCATTTTCATAATTTTAGTCTTGTATTAGATTTTTTCCTTGATCTGATTTTTTTTTACCTTGTGTCTGAATTTAGTTTTGTTTTCAGATTTTGTATTTCTAAATTTAGTTTTGTTGCAGATTTTCGTGTTTCTGAATTTAGTTTCGTTGCAGATTTTTTGTATTACTGATTTTTTCCATGTTCTGATTTTTTCACCTTGTGTCTGAATTTAGTTTTTGTATTTCTAAATGTAGTTTTGTTTCAGATTTATTCCTCATTCTGATTTTACACATCATGTTTTAATCATCCTGTTAATGTGTTTGTTAACATCAATATATCATTTTGTATTTTCAAATTGGTCACTTGTGTTGTTTCTAAATAAGTAAAAAAATGGCTGCTGAGAATTCGCATAGCCGTCATTCAGACCCTTCTCTCTCAGACCTGTTACAGAACGCTATCGAAATGCACACAGAGACGTCGCATAACTTATGCGACATATTACAGCGATTGTTAGATCAGTATCCAAATTATAATACAGAAATGCAAATTAATATCGATCACACACAAAATGTTCATGATTTGCAATGATTAGAATCGGAAATAGAGCAAAGTCTAAACATTGATTTGTGAATGCTATTGCAGACCGCGATAAGCCAAAACGTCACACAGAACGGGGGTACGTTAACCGTTTCTGACCGTACCGCTGATTCGTCAGACAACACTATGCGTTCGTCAGATGGCCCTACAGGTAATGTCAACGATGCTCCTTCCGGTAATAACGATGCTGAGCGACCGTCGACTTCCCGCACTGATCCCCCTTTTGACGCAACACCCCCATCAACTAGCTCTATGGCTAATAACTATGATCCTCATTCTTCAGACGTGACAGAACCAAGGCACGTGAACATAGATTCGCTGGTACGACATGGAGGGTTCGTAAATGGATATCACGTAACACCTAGACCTCGATATAACCGCGTGAAATTGCGAAGGACTATGAATATGCATGAAATAAGATCTACAGATTTAGCATCTTATCATACATTATTACACTAAAAAATTTAAGAGATAGCGTCGTTTGCCAGATGTATCGGCGGGGACTCTAGCGTGATTAATTTAACGATGAATGGTGAAAGCTTGAAATCACCCGTTAATGCTGTTTTAACACCCGGTAATAATCACGACGTTAATCTTTTTACCGAGCAAATTGAAAAATTTTTACAGAGCGACGATCAGTTATTGTCCGACGACATGGTCGAGATCGAAGTCGGCGTGGCCATGAACAGACAAGGAGGAGGAGGAGGTCGGCGTAAACTCACAGACATACCTCTACAGCAGGTGATTAAAAGAAAAAATATGAGTTTATTCTGCCCTGTGAATAGGGGTGATGATTTGTGCCATTCGATCTGCCTCGCACGTTTTCTCGAACCGCTATTACCCGAGAGCGAATTAGAACGTCGCGCAACAGTCATTCACAACAACGCAGGATTTTCGATCCAAGACAAGATCGGTCTTCATGATATAGCGAAGTTTGAAAATCTGCTAGACATCAAAATTGTCATTTTTTACAGGACGGCCACAGGAGCGTTAAAAACGTTCAAAAATAATGCCGAAATTCATCCTAAAACAGTGTTTCTTTATTTACACGACGAGCATTACTACATGATTCTGAATCTGACGGCATTCATAGGTGCTAACTATGTCTGTCAATTCTGCTATAAAGGATACTCAAAAATTCAAGATCACCATTGCAAACACGTCTGTAACATTTGTTTTGACCGAGATTGCTACAAATACCCTAAAAGAATCGTTCACTGTCCCGATTGTCTACGCTTTTGTAATTCGAAGCATTGCTACGATATGCACAAGAAGAATCCGCCCGGCAAAGAGAGCCCCCCTTGCAATTTTATGAAATATTGCAAACTATGTAACAGACGGTACGAAATTATAGGTCCCGTAGATAGTCACAAATGCGCCCCCTTCCGCTGCTGCGATTGCGGGGCAGAACTGCATGATTGGGGGCTACATTTCTGCTACATACAGCCCCAACCGCCCAAGCACCATAGCAAGAAGTATATTTTTTATGACTTCGAAACTCGTTATGAAAATGGAAGACACGTCGCTAACTTCGTTTGCGCGGTCACGTTTGACGGCGAACGATTTGTGGCAGAAGGTACCAACTGCGTGGAACAGTTGATTAACCGGTTCAGACAACCCCTATACAAAGGCTACTGTTTCATAGCACATTACGCTTCCAGATTCGACTCTTTTCTAATCCTCGAGTATTTTTGCAAAGCGGGTTTTACTCTCGACATCATCATGCAAGGATGTAAATTAATCTTCATGTACGACGAAGCTTTTGCTCAGCGATACGTAGACAGTTACAGTTTCATCCCTATGGCTCTGTCTAAGATGCCCGCCGCTCTAAACCTAACAACGACGGAAAAAGGTTACTTCCCTCATCATTTCAATAGGCAGGAAAATGAGAACTATGTGGGTCCCTACCCCGACAAAAAGTTTTACGGCTTTGAAAACCTGTCGGATAAAGACCAGGCAAAGTTCAACGAGTGGTATAGCACAGCCTCGGGTAAATTATTTCGTTTCAGGAAGGAGTTGTATGCATACGCCGTGAACGACGTCGTCTTATTACGTGAAGCATGCATGAAATACCGAGAAGCATTCATAGACTGTACCGAGATCGATCCGTTCAGCTTTACCACTCTCGCGAGCTGTTGTATGGGAGTCTTCAAAACACATTACCTCGCCAGAGACACAATGGCTCTGACGCATAATAACATGTATGTCCAACACAGCAAGACTTACTCTAGCGTGTCGATCGAATGGCTCGAATATGTGAAAAAGACCCGAAACTTAGACATTCACCATGCATTAAATCACGGCGAAGTGCAGATCGGCCGTTACTTTTTAGATGGTTACTACGAACAGGACGGGACGAGGTACGGTCTAGAATTCAACGGCTGTTTATTTCACGGTCACGAATGCCGCTTTGAGCCCCATAATACCCACCCCTTGTCAGGCATACCTTTCGGAGTTCTCAGAAGACGGTTTGACGACAAGGTAGAGATTCTACAAAACGCATACAGCTTGAAATTAGAGGTTCTGTGGGAGTGTGAATGGAGAAAAATGAAACAGACCGACCCCTCGGTGATGGCTTTTATGAGTACTTATTCGGCTCCCGAGAGACTGAATCCTCGAGACACCCTTTTTGGTGGGAGGTAGATTTTACCAGCTTATACCCCTTCTGTCAAGCTAGGAAAAGCTATCCGATCGGTCACCCCAAATCATTTTTAATGATTTTGAACCGATTGAAAATTATTACGGACTTATCAAGGCAACCGTGTACCCCCCACACAAATTACCGGTACTGCCTTACAGATACCTAGGAAAGCTCATGTTCCCCTTATGCAGAACCTGCACACACACCGAAAACCAGACGTCGAGCTGTAGCCACACGGATGAGGAGAGAGCTCTCTCGGGGTGTTGGGTCAGTATCGAACTTTTAAAAGCGATCGATAAGGGCTACGTCGTGGCCAAGGTCGATGAAGTTTGGCATTTCCCGCAAAGGACGGATACGCTGTTTTGCGATTACGTAAAGAAGTTTCTGCGGTTGAAACAGCAAGCGTCCGGCTATCCGTCAAATGTGATCACGGATGCCGACAAAGCTTCTTACATCCGTGAATATTATGAAAAAGAGGGAATTCGTCTCGACCCCGAAAAGATCAGTCACAACCCCGCTCAGAGGTCTATAAACAAGCTATTGCTCAATAGTTTATGGGGGAGATTCTCTATGAGGGAGGATTTAGCACAAACCATCCTGGTGAAAGATCCTGAAGAATTCACAAGTATCGTTTTTGGTAAAACCGATACCCTGAAATACTTCACATTCGTCTCAGACGACGTAGCGCTTGTCCAGCATCGCCCCCCCAAAGGGGATGATCGTCAGACGCGTAACATTAACGTGTTTATAGGTGCCTTTACAACGGCTCACGCCCGCCTGGAGCTGTATGACCTGATGGACAAACTCGGCGACCGAGTATTATACTCGGATACCGACAGAGTTCTTTTTGTGTCTAGGGATGACGACTGGATCCCTCCTCTGGGGGATCATTTGGGGGAGCTGACGGACGAAATAGGGGGCGACGATTACATCACAGAGTTCTAGTGGCCCGAAATCTTATGTCTATCATACTGCCAAGGGAAAAGTGTGCATGAAGGCTAAGGGTATAATGCTGAACGCTAGAAATTCCCAAGCTATCCACTTAGATTCCCTGATTGGTCTGGTTAATGGCTATGTGATGTCTCACGACGATACACAATACATTTTGGCTCGTGCTGAAAACATTGTGAGGGATAAAAAGCATCTCACGCTGCACAACAAGTCAGTCGAGAAAAAGTTCAAAGTGGTGTATAATAAGCGCAGACTTTTACCCGATTTCAACACTCTTCCTTATGGCTACTGATTCGATGATGCACAGAGGGGTGCGGGATGCTTCAGAGTTTGACTTTAGACTCTAGCACCCTTTTTCTTGTGTGATAAGTGG